AAAAGATTAGTTAAATCCTACAACCCCCACTAAGTGGAATTAAATTTAGAATCTTTTTTGCATCTGCAATTTTATTATTTTAAAATACTTGAGAGAGCGCCTTGTCTCATGTTGGATGACATTTATCCGTTGTTTGGTTGGAACGAACCAGTTCCCACAGAATTCAAAGAGATATTTTCAAAATGTGTCAAGAAAGAAACTGAATTGGGTCATGATTCCAATTCCAGGAAGTGCAGCAGCACATTAGAAGAATCCTTAAGTATTCTGCATAACATTCTTAGTTGTTGACGAAGATTATGAAATAATAGGCAAGAGTCAAAACGATAATTCCATATGTCCAATCTGCTACCAGAATGTGTAACTGGGCAACACATAATTGTACTCAAATCATCTCTCCCTCTACTTCGATGTCCATACCCAATGCGCCCTAATGTGCAAACAAAAACCAGCCTCCCTGGCTTTATTGCATGAACACATCCAATCGGCCAAATTTATCAAGCGCGTCCCCATCGACTACGATCTCCTCGACCTCAACATCAAAGCCTTCGTAGAGTTCCGAGTCTTTCACACCATTGCCCAAAAACCATTCTTGCATCTGACTCATTCCACAACACTTAAATAAAAAAAAACCACTTCCATCCTAATCGATTATGCAAACCTCAGAGAATACTTCGGTAAGCGTCCCAAATACCTTATTCCCTTCCTCCAGGGACGCATTCAAATAGAACTCTACATCATAGATGCCAATCTCATGCAGGAGGGCAAGAGTGCTCGTACATTCGAATTCTATTACAATGCAGAATAAGCAGCGGTGGGTGATTACATTTCATTAGAATCTGACGGAGTGTGCATCTCCATGTAACTAGAAGAAGAATCTATCCAACTATCCATTAAATCACTCCAAATCACACTCCCCTCCGAATTATCTACCAGTTTAATTAAGCAATCCCCCAAGTCATCACCCATCATCGATAGTTTCTTGTTCTCCCCCAAATTGAACAACTTCACGCCCCAAGTAGGTCCGATTCAATCAAGAGTTCGCTTACAAAGTTTCCAACTTGAAGAAACCATACAAACTCCCATTGATGAATGGACTGAAGATTTATAGAATCTGGAGTAGATTAGAGGCAATGTTGTTAATTTTGTGAAAACTCAACATGGCAGTAGATTGATTTAGAAGTACTTCACTACTTGCACTCAAATTGAATTAGATCAATTGTTATAAGAAATAGGACCGCATCTACCAGATTTAATGATTGACCCCTATGCCAATTACATGTTTGGTAGTCTAAGTCAGAGTTGTGCTCCCCATTAGAGATTGTATATTCTCTAAACAGTAACTATGTATTTATAGATATTTAGATTGGCAATCGTCTTGTTGATATTGCTTGTGATAAAAAGGGAACCCATGCCATTTAGTCCTTGGTTTCATTGATCTCCTGCAAACAAGAAGAAGAAATGGTCGAGAATAGCATTAAGAATAACATCATCCCACTCACTCTAGATAGTTAGGGGACTCACCTTATCAAAAAGATAATTGCACGCTTCTCTGAAGACCGACTCAATTACATTTTCCACAAATTGATGGACAGATTCATTCAGGTTGTTAACCATCAATTCGGTTTATGTGTGTTGAAGGATCTCATCACGAAATTCAAAAACAATTTAGAGAAATCTGCCATCATCATTAATAGGATGAAGGATCATTTAGATGAGATTATTTAAGACCCTTTTGGGAATTACGGAGTATAACACGTTATCGATGTAATGAGTATTCGTCATTCTATTAGGTCTATGGAGATCTCAGATGTAATTGCATCATTGACAAAATACTTCTGAAATTAATACAACTATCCATACACAAGTATTCCTCCAATGTTGTCGAGAAATGCATTCTTGAAACATCTCCAAAAACTCAAAAAAGATTCATCAAATAACTTTCTTAAGACATCATCTGTTTGGAATTAATGAAAAATAAATTCGGAACTTTTGTACTACAAAAAGCTTTGTAAGAAGCTGATAAATTATCTGAAACCGATTCATTGCAATAAGCACTTTATCGCAATCTACCTTCCATTTATGCTTAAAATATTAGACAAAAATGGTTCGAATACTTATCTAAGAAGTGATATTATAATTAATTGTATATTAATGAAAATTATCATTCGCTATCATTCTCAATGGGGCAATATGAGTACTAAATCTTGCATAGTCAACCCCAACATCAAAGTTGCTCAACTCAAAAAACAGATTGCCCAACTCACCGATATAGAAGAAAAAGACTTAACACTCTATCTCAATGACTACACTCTTGAAGATGAAAACCAGCTATCTACTTATAATCCAGACGATTGCCAATTTATTTATGTTAACAGAGACAATTTTCAACTAGATGAAGATGTACTTGAAACTGAAATCCTGGAAATACAAAATCGAGGAATCTATAATCGCATGAAAGGCTACGAGAAACTAGGTATCATTCACGAAGATTCTGAAGAAGTTACGCGTAAAAAGTCTAATTAATAACTTACAGTTGATTTCATTAAGGTAACTTGCATGTGTCCATTAATCAGCTAGTAAAAAATAATGATATACCCGCTATCAAAGCCTTGTTCCCAACCCAGTATCCCATAGACATCATCAATGATAGACAATACTCTGGATTCTCTGCCTTCCATTACGCAACTCAATCTGGCCATTCCGAACTAGTTACACTTCTTATTGAATTAGGTGCCAACATCAATTTGTCAACGAAGGATAACCAATCATCATTATAATTAGCTCTAAAAAACAATCAAATCTCATGCGCTAAGATTCTACTCTCACAACCCCATTGTGATGTCAATTTCGTTTCCTAAGGCAAGAGTGCACTTCAATTGGCAGTCTTGGCAGGCAATTTAGAAATTGTTGAACTCATCCTCAAACATCCAACCTTCGACTCCTAATCTATTGATCTCAATGAATTCAAGGGGGATCCTCAGGCCATTCAACTGGTTATCAACCTCTAAAAATCAAACCAAACCAATTAAGCCAACAAGCCTAAAGCTCAAAAAGGATACATCAAAAAGGTCAATGTGCTCAGGTTTTTTCATTATAAAAGATACCTAACTCTTGACCCAGAGGCAGGAACCTTAACAAGATATAAAACCGAAGCTGATTACCCACTTTAACCCATCGAAATTGTTGCTCTTTCCAATATCATTAGTGTATGGCAACCTAAAAGAGAATGGTACATGAATAGCGACCATGAATATTTGAGTGTATTTAATCAGTATTGATTTAAGGTGTCCTATAAGAAGGGAGGAATTGAAATCTTAACATTCTGTTCCAAAAGTAAAAATACTATATTGAGTTGGAGGAGAAGTCTAGAAGATTCTATTAAATATTATACAGAAATTGAAAAGAAAATCGCCCAACTTTCGGAACTAAGAGATGTATATGGATTAAGCTAATATATAAATGAGAGTAGTGAATAATTTAGTATAATTGAAGATTCTAGTTTTTAGAATAATTAGCATGTAATTAAGCAAAGATAATAATAATTACTTTAATAATAAGAAGAAGATAAATCATAACGATAGGATAGTTATTAATAATAGGATAGTAACTTATAATAATAATAATAAGATGGTAATTAATTTTAATAATTATTAAACCTACAATAATAATTAAATGATCAATAAGAATCTATTAATCTATCTCCTGTTGAAATACCCCAATCCATAAAGTAATGCTTTTAATATCTTGAATAATATTCGGTTATTAAATAAATTGGTTAAGGTGCCTTTGGGAAAGTATTTCTTGTCAAACACAATCCTACTCAAAATATTTATGCCATGAAACAATTAAATAAGAAAAGATTGATGCAAAAAAAATAAATAAAATTCGCTATTACTGAATGCAATATTTTAAAATAAGTTGATTCTCCATAAATTGTAAATCTTTTTTAATCCTTTCAAACAGTTAATAATCTCTATCTAGTAATGGACTATTGTGGAGGTGGAGATCTCTCCTATCATCTATGCAAATACAAGACTTTCGATGAAAGTACTTGCAAAATAATTGCTCGATAAATTATGAAGGCTATAGAGTATTTGCATAGCAAAGATATTATTTACAGAGATCTCAAACCAGAGAATATAATTCTTGATAGCGAAGGGAGGATCAAACTTGTAGATTTTGGACTTTCCAAATAAACAGATGACGGCAAAACACGCACCTTCTGTGGTTCTCCTGCTTACCTGTCTCCTGAAGTCTTAGCAAAGAAAGGAGCAGTACAAGCCACAGATGTTTATGGGATTGGAACAGTGTTATATGAACTATTGCTGGGAGATCCACCTTATTTTAGTGAAGACATAGACACTTTATACAATAGCATTCGTAATGATAATCTGCACATTCCTAATAAATTAAGCAAGCCTTGTCAATCAATTCTCCTTGGATTGTTGTAAAAAGAAGCCAATAAAAGGATTGGCTGCAAATAGCCATCATAAGTGAATTGGAACTTGATAAAATTACATGAGTGGCTGGAATGGGACAATCCTGAAGAGAAAGTTACATTTGGGATAAGTTAAGAAAATTTAGACAGTATAATTCGGAAATATACTCATGTATAATGTGTTATTAACATAATAGAATCTTGGAGACGCAGATTATAACGAAGAAAACTCAAGCATAAACAGAATAAATGGATGGACCTTTGTAAGAAAGAGTTGATATATTTAATTAATTTAAATTTTAGTATTAATTAACGTTAATCTATCATCCAAATAATTTAGAATTTTTGAGCCACCCTCTAGTGCGTGTATATACTAATAAATGAGTACCAATATTCAAAATTACGATTCAGTAAAAATGTGATGATGAAATTTATAAATCACTAAAGTCTAGAAATTGGCCTACTAATTGTGTATTATCCAGGCCCAGGAGATTATGCAATTCTCAAGCTATCGATTCTTGATCTGGTGAATGATATTCCCCTTTTTCGTAAAGTGGAACCTAATTAATAGGTACCTGGTCCTGGATTGCTATGTTAAACAGACTTAGGTCTCGAATTCATATAATCTAAAAATTCCTTATTAACTTTATAAGGTTTTTCAGGTCGGCCTCTATAAACTTTCACATCGCAGATATTATAGTTTCCAGGTCCTGGAGTTTGTTAGTTCCGATAGAAGACAATTCGTTAACCTTTTGGGAAGCTAGGGCCCGGAGAGTATTTTGCTTTACTCGGCTCACTGATGACAAAGGTTTCGCAGAGGAACTGCTACTTGGGGAAGCGATCAGCCTTTCCAAATGTTTAATGTATATTTTTTGGTTTAGACTCTTTCATTTAATTTAATAAAATGCAACTATATACATTTTTAGATTGGTTCTTTACGATAGGATCTGCTCTAATGGCAATTCTATTAGGATTTTATGTTAGCGGAGCTGCTTGCCTTTTAGGATTGCTTTTCTATTTAATATACCCTTTCATAATTGAATACTCTTACAACAGTTTAAGCGAGCAACAAGAGATAATCATAAGGAATATGCCTGAGATACCAATTGTATATCATGAAAACTACAATATTACTGCTTGTGGAATTGAAAAATGGCATCCCTTCGATTCCTGCAAATATGGGAATGTCTACAGATAAATTAGATAAAAGGTAAAGGCTTAACATTTCACTCCCTCAATGCTGTCAAGGGGAACCTTACTTTATCTAGGTATGAGCAGATGGTATTTGCTCAAAATGTGTTATAGTGCATATGTCTCCACCTTAATAGAATTACCAGTATTCTTTTTACCTGGAGCATTCTTGAGATCCTCTCTCCTAGATCCAATGCTTCTAGCAACCAGTGGAAGTATTTATGCTGCCAAGCTGGCTATCGAAAAGGGATGGGCAATCAACCTAAGTGGAGGTTATCATCATGCCTCATTAAATGGAGGTGGTGGGTATTTATATCATTTTATTAAATTAGATTTTGTATTTATCCTGATATCACTTTGGTAGTAAATTACTTGAAGAAATGCCAAAATTTAAATAAAATAGTAATAGTGGACTTGGATGCTCATCAAGGGAATGGTTATGAAAGAGATTTCCTTTAAGATTCATCAGTTTACATCATAGATTTTTATAACTCCTATATATATCCAGGGGATCATGAAGCTGAATAAGCTATTAATTGTTTCGAACATGTCGACAAAAATACAACAGATGAATAATATATCATGACACTTTAAAGAAACCTTGAGAAGCATCTCAAAGATGATATGGAATTCATTATTTATAATGCTGGTTCTGATATTATGGGAGGAGATCCTCTTGGAAATTGTTGCATATCTCCTGCTGGGCTACAAAGAAGAGATGAGGTAGTATTTAAATGGGCAAACCATAAAAAAATTCCAATTCTCATGTTGTTGTCAGGTGGTTACTAAAAAGAAAACACTTATGCTATCGGAGAATCGATATTGTAATTAATACCTTGATTAAAATAATTATAAATAGATCAGATTATGTATTAAATATTTTATTATGGCAACACCAATCTGATATCATGGCCTTTGGTTTTTTTAGAAATGCAATTTAAGAATATCTTCCCAACTTCATTTCCCCCATCGCTCACATTCAGAGTCAAAGTGTCTAATCTAATTGCCTTTTCACGGAATGACTGAAAGATTTGTATTTCCCTTTAACTCACATTCAAATGGGAATAACCATTACAGGATAGAGTGAGCTTCTACAAACTTTAACATATGGAATCATGTCTATAACTTAAGTAGAAATATATACTCTAAAATTTGATCTATCAGAAATATAATATTCTAAACATTAATTTTGAGGCATAAGACTTAAACATTAGGTACCAGTTATAGAAAATCGCAAACTACTTTTATAGAAAAACTTTGAGCAGTAAAGTTAATAGACGCTGACTACATGTTCAACATACAGACATTTCTAAATGGTTTATACATCTAATAAATACCTTTATTTTGCTTGTTTAAACACATCATTTGTCAATCCTTAATTATTCATCAACTCACCTATGTTTATGTGTTTTAAGTTTCCACTATTTTTATGAAGGAGATCAACCAATACTGAATTGTTGATTTTATTATCCTAATTAATTAAAATTCATTACTGATATAGATAATTATTAAAGAGCATTGTTCTTTGTTAATAATCTAAATGCCTTCTTACTAAATCCAAGCACACCTCTTAAATCCACCTGAGTTAAGTGCTTCTACTTTTCTAAGAATGGCAACAGAGATTCATTAGTCAATTTCCGACATCCGCGTATCTTTAACTATGTATACTGTGTTGAGCAACCTAAAATGATGATAAACTAATCAAACCTAATATATTAAGACATTCATCATCAATTGAAGTGAAGTCTAGATTCAGCATCTTTAAATTTGGAAGCAAAGAAAATAATGATGCAAAATGCGATTGGTGATACTTCAAGCTTGCCAAACCAAGAGATATTAGATTTAGTTATGCCAATTCATCCAATTCAAAATTCAGTATTTCAAATGAAATATTATATCTATTAAACAATTATTTAATATAGTTTACATATTAAGTGAAAATACTTTTAAATTATTAAAATGTTTTAGAAATGCTGTCATCTTATCTCCTTCAATAATTGTGTGTATATTTAGATGTTGGCATAACTTGATTGATAATACTTGATCTCCGATCAAATGCATTAGTTTTTATAGATGAAGCAACAAATTCATTTGTTATGCTTAATCAAATTATTTCAAAGAGATTTTCTTTATTGTCGTGTTAATTTAGAAATTGCTCTGCAACAAATACCCTCTCTCCAATTGATTCGTATCAGCCAATTAATCAAAAGATATTTTTTCAATTGTTGGTTGTCTAGTACAAAATTCATCCTTATAAAACAAGGCAAAAAAGAGATAATTTTATATCGACTCATTAGTAATCTTACTCAGATTCGTTGTATCTAAGTGAAGGGTCTTAAGATTCTTCATCTTATCATAAAAGTGATTGTGTAAAAACTTTGCATCTAAACTACGATTATTTTTTAATTAAATTTACTTCTACTTAGTTTAAATGATATTTGGCCCTGTGGCAATCATTTTCAACGCAGTTAGTTATGCCATATATTTGGAAATGTAGGAATAGAACCTTTCTTGAATAATCAAGTCATAATTTAACTAGAGCTTCAATTTTTTCACTGATTAGGGGATTTGTTTCAAAATCTGCTTCAATTCAGAGAGACTTGTTGTAGAAATGATTAAACTCAATTTTTCTAATTTTAACCACTTGTCCAACCCCAAACTTTTATTGTAATCAAAAATAGATATGCTAATTTAATTTTTAGTCTTTAGAATAATGCTTGGAATATAGGTGGCAAAAAACGAATCTATCCATTATATTCTTTTTAATTCTTGAAATGTTAAACTACTCAAAATCAAATCTAATATATGTAATTGGATGTTCAATAACATCACTAAAAGCAATAATTATTTATTAATTTATATCAATTGTTTGAAAGAACTAGTTATAACTACAAAACAAATAAGAACTCTAATCATCTGATTGCAAGTCTTGCATAATAAAGTGTAGATTATTAATTGTAAAGACCTCTCTTATTAATTTTTATTTTCTAACAAATTTTAAAATAAGTTTATATCACTATAATGATCATGGTATCTTCTTCATAGCATATTTTGGCACGGATCCAAATTCATTTCCTTAATCATAGCCACCTGGTCCTGGAGTCTCATTCTTTGGATTCAAAGGTGGTCGTTTACTAGTACCAAAACCCCAGCAAGGTCCTCCTAATTTTTCTTTAGGCTTGTATTGTCCAGGTCCTGGAACTTCCAAAGTGGAATTAAGTTCCTGTCTTCTGGATGTACCGATTCTGAAATTGTAGTTATGAAAACAATACTTTGCTGATTGCGGCCTTTACATAATGGGACGCTCATATTAACCTGGTCCTGGTATCTAATCCTTTTGAGCTTAGACAGGATCATATTTATGACCCAATATTTTAACTTATGGGCCTTCAACCATCTTAGAAGGTAAGTCATAAGTTCCAGGTCCTGGCACTCCTTTGACGTCATTTAATGGTCTTCTCGTGGCTGATCCCACTCTGACCATGGCAGATTAAGGACGAATAGTATCAATTTGAGGCTCGTATTCTCCTGGTCCTGGATTTGGATTAGCAAATTGCAATCCTCTCATGGACTTACCAATCTTACAGGAAGGAGGTCTTTTAACTGGTTATGGATCATAAGCTCCTGGTCCAGGGACAACAAGTTATTGGGTCATTTGTTCCTTCCTGGAGACCAAAGTAAAGCCTTTAGGTTAAACAGACTCAAATTATGATTAATAGTTGTATTATCCAGCTAATAAAATATATGGTGAGTTTATATACGTCCTGGTACTTTTCCAAGCTCATTGTCATATAATCCTCTTCTTTAAGAATTGCCAAAGCGATACTTGGGTGCCGATTCAGGTCTTTCCTGCTTGTAGGCTTGAAAATATAAAAATTGTTATAATACCTCCAGGTCCAGGAACTTTTTCACTATGAGGGTCGTCTCTCTTGGATCGAGGAAACCTAGCAATTAATTGATAGAGTTACTTCATGGATGGCGCATCCAAATCTTTACTCAATTAGTATTCTCCTGGGCCAGGCTGTGAATCATCCGGATGGCTTCCATATTTACCGCCAAAACTGTATTAGGGAGCCTGTTTGGTTGGTTTTACATTATAGGCTCCTGGTCCAGGTTAAAAGGATGTAACAGATGTTTGTTTTTTGCTAGCAAAAGTAAACTTGGGTCCTTTGAGTAGGTTCTAAGTTTGAGAAAGAAGATACTTCTGAGGAAGCATATGCTCCTGGTCCTGGGGTGAAACTTGGTTGGAAAGTTTATCTTTGTGCTTGTGGGATCCTACTGTGATGATGATTGGTACTTGAAACTGGGAGGAGTGTATTTTTGTTTCTTGTCTCCAGAGTATTGTCCTGGGCCTGGAGTGTCAGGTCCTTGTTGAACTTCATTGGATCTTTTACCATTCCCAACTGAATATGCTGAAACCATTATATATAATTAAATATAATTCAAATATGCTGAAACTATTGTATTGCAGTGATTCTGAGTGATGATATATATTACAGATAGTAATACTGAAGATGTTTAATGGTCTGCTTGTCAACTTCATACTTTGATGGCACTTTGAATTGACTCAATTATTCAAAATTGTATTTGATTCTAGGATCAATATAATAGATATACACCTTTATTGAAAGATCATTTATTCTTGGTAATCTCTCAAATTTCTTTTGCCTTGAGATGCTTCTCTGATGGCATAATCCAAGATGCTCCACTTCACTAGATCATTCATCTGATCTAACAGAGTGCGCAAATAGGTTGGAAAATTGTTGAGTGGATTACCATTTCTATATTTGAATTTCCTAGCCATTTCATTTACTTATTGGAATTATACATTATAAATCTCAACTACCAAATCTCCCAACTCTACAAGTTCATGTTCTTATTGTTCGATTGAAAACTTTTTGTTATCATTTTTGACTTCTTCATAGAGATTCTATTGAATGTACTGAGCATAAACAGAATTGTTCGTGTAATCTGAATAAGATTGAGGTTCAAAATGATCAGCACGTTAATAGATTAAACAGTATGCATTAGTTTTTGATTTGCCATCTCCATAAGCATCACGCAACACTTTCTCCTCACTCACCTAAGTGACATTGATATCATTGAATTTAAACCAATGTTTCAACGATGGATTGTAAATATAAGTATAATAATGACCAGACTCTGCTGCCCCTTCATGAATTAAAATGCTTTACAGAAAATACTTGTATTTTTTCATTATAGCATACAAGTCTTCAATCTTCTAATTAATTTCATCCAATTCAAACTGATGTTTCTATAAAATCAGTTGAATACTTAATCTACATTACTCAATCCTCTATTGCATAATTTCATCATCTGGTTTCGCCTCTTTCACATACTTAGTAGCTGTGCTCAAGACAGTTAACATTGAAATGCCATTATAATTTTGGTATTTATCCATCTGAAACAATAATTCAGCTTATTTAATTTTGAGTTCAATTAATTGCTATTGTGTTTCGATAACCTTCTATCTGTTCTCCAAGAGGAATCTATCTGCATAGATCTCCTTCTCAAATCGAAATTCATCATTCAATTTGATCAATCCTCTCTCTGGGTCATACCCCACTCTTTATATTTGGAATAACAAGGAATCAGGAATCTAAGTAATCCAAATAGCTTTCTCAGCCAACTCAATCACTTCACTTCCATTACGATATCCTTCTATTGAAAAGGAATTGTTTGCTTCCCAAGCTTAATATAAACTCTTGTTCTTCACATTCAATATAATCTACAAGAATATTTACTCCTGTTCTTCACTCTGATTTCTCTGATTGGGATGTGTGATATACTCTTTGGTTTTTCCAAAAAATAATCTATTGATTATTGTCTAATTCTAAGGTTATGATTGCAATGGCTGTTATTCTATCAATTTGGCCTTGTTCTCATCCAATAGTATCATAGATCTTGTTTAAGTAATTCCAGATTTGTTTCTATCATTCTAATACTAATCTGATTCATGCATGTCCCCACTTTCATCTTTGTTCTACATTTCAGCATCCATTATTTTATTCTCATGATATTTCAATCCCTCGTCAATGCATGTTATAAATTATAAATTGAATTCCGCCCAATCCTTTTAATCCCCCAATTAAAACCTATTACCAAACTCATCTACAACATTCAAGAACACTCTGTATGGATCAACGTACTTTCTATCTGTGTGAACTAAGTAAGCAAACAGTCTAAAAATATTTATTTTTTGAAACCTCTACAAATGCACAACTAAATCGATTGATGACTTTATTCTCTTTGCTTTTGCCTCATTCTTGTTTAAGAGATCCTCGAAATTCAATTGCACAGGGTATTTAAAGCTCAATATCTCCTTCACAAAGATTGGGTTATGAAAATATGTCTAAACCAGAGAATTCAAATAGCAAACTAACATAAATATCACTAAAACCATTAGCCAAATTTTTCAATCCTACAGGTATTCCCTTTTATCGCAATCGTTGATCAGGAGTCAAAACATCAAATGACAATTCCCTCAAAATCTGGGATTGGGATTGTTATTGAGATTAATCTTTTATTGGAGACTAAACATTTTTCAGAAGCACATCCAAAATCTCTAAGTTTCTATATTACTTGCAAATTTGTTAAGCCTTCAAAATCTATTACTGAGTGAATCCCATATTCAAGAATTATTGCAACATCTTACAAACAATATTAAATTATTACAAACAAAATTTAAAAACATAGAAAACACTGTCAACTGCAATTTCGTAATCATTATATTCAACTCTTATATATATGTTTTAGATAATTTCAAACATCCAAAGTTTTATTTGTTAAAATCTTAGATGATACCCATTCTTAATTCATGATTTCCA